GTTTCAGGTCTGACATCAATTCAGGGGAAATGTTCAGTCACTGTTTCAGATATTTCTTGCCTTTTCTTCTCCTGTATTCCTATTATGCATAACTTATTGCTTTCATAGTTGTCTCACAGTCTGTAGATATTCTGTTCTTTTTTTTTTTTTTCAGTCTTTGTTTTCTTTGCTCTTCTGTTCTAGAGGTTTCCATTGATAATATCCTCAAGCTCAGAAATGCTTTTCTCAACACTTCCAGCCTACTAATAAGCTCATCGAAACCAGTCTCCTTTTCTGTTGCCATGTTTCTCTCTCTAGCATTTCCTTTTATTATTCTTTTTAGGTCTCCCAGTTCCTTCCATTGCCCACCTGTTATTCTATACTGTCTACTCCATCCATTAGTGCTCTTGTCATATTAGTCATAGCTGTTGTAAATTCCTTGTCTGATATTATAAAATCTCCACCATGTCCAGTTAGTTCTGATGCTTGCTATTTCTTTTCAAAGTACTTTTTCTTTCTTTTCTTTTAGTGCGCCTTGTAATTTTTTCTTAAAAGCCAGAAATGATGGCCTGGATAGAAGGAACTTCTATATGGAGGCTGAATGAAACAATGAGGTGTGTTTTGGGAGGAAACATTTTATAGTCCTATCATTAGATCTCCATCATTTAGTGAGCCTGTGCCTCTGGACTGTGGATTTCACAAGTGGTCTTCAGTTTGCTTTTCTCCTCTTAGCTGGGACAGGCTGTCTAGAAGGTGCGGTATTAGAAATTTTTCCTTCTCTTACATGGAAGGCCTGAGCTGGCTGGAATTATGTATTTCTCTTTTCTTATTAGGCTCTGATAAGACCCCAACAGGTTATGGTCTGGTTACTAGTTTCCTCTAAGGGCCAACCTTGTTAAGAACAGAATGCTCTGGTGTATTTCAAAATGGTTCTTTTACCCATTTCTTCCCCATCCCATCCCCTACTCCTACCTCCAGAAACATGAAGAGATTTTTTCTCCAATAATTTCTACTCAAACTGGAAACTCACAAAAGTGTGTGCATACACCCCGTGAATGGGGTCCCCCTGGGGTTTTTGACTCTCAATTTGACTACATGTAGGCTCCAGCAATTTGTGGATACAATTTAGGTTTCCTCTCCCTGGCACTGGTTTCTGTGGCAATTTCTACCCTGGTAAATTGTAATTCTCTGTATCTACCCATTTGTCCCCAGTTTTGGAGGAAGTAGTTCACCCAGTGATCTTATTTCTCCTAAGGATCTAAGAAGTGTTGTTGATTTTTCAATTTGCTCAGCTTTTTACTTGCTTTTAGGACACAGAGGTACTTTCCAGTCTCCATAATGTTGAACCCATCACATTTAAAAATGACCCCCTTTTACTACCTATGCAGCCCACAAGTGTAAAGGAGTGAGGCCTGTGGAGAGAGGAGCGCTTCAACACATCGGGCAATGGCAGCCAGTTGACACTTTGAATTAGGATCATGGGAGAATAAAGTGAATGATGTTGGTGATTCTTACCATCAAAATACAAAGAGAGAAAGAATCCCAGGTGGCAGAGTAACAGAACCTATGGCAGGGATGCGGGTAGGACAGGGCCATTTTCTCTCAAAAGTGATGAAATTTAGGCTAGGATTGGGCTGCTCCCTGAAGCAGCTCTTCCCTAAACGACACAGGTTCTTGGAGGACCCCCTGAGTTCTAAGGTGTCTTAGCTTCTAACAACATCCTATGGTTTTACATATGGGTAGGAAATATAATCACTGCATCATTCGTCCATGAATCATTGAGAACTCACTGGTGAGAAATAATGAGGATTGATGCCCTCTGGGTTAGGAAAATACATTCAATATTAGAAGATTGATATTCAAGTAAATGTAAATTATGAGGGTGTTATTGTCAGGGCCTACATCACCTAGAAGTGTTATCTGATTGCTTACAACAAGCTGTAAGAAGAACACACCACATGAGGGGAAATTTGTATCAGCTCACAACCAATATGGTCAGTGGGAAATTAGAAACCAACCAAATGGTAGACAGAATCATGAAGGGGACATTATTTATAACATCTGTCTTTCTTCAAAATAGCCCATCTCATGCTAGTGAGAATTAGTCATCTTAGGAAGAAAAATATTACTCCCCCTGTCCCCACCATGCACTCAGGAGAGGATCTGTCTTTTGGTGACTTGCTGGGCCCATTCTTTCTTCACACACATGACCACTTGTCCCTTGGTTAGTTCATATGTTGTACAGTTGCATCTGCAGTACTTGGTACTGTGTCTGCCCTCTCTGATCCTTGTGTTTCACTGGCTCTCCCACTTACCATTCCATAGCCATCTACAAAAGGGCAAGGGGCTTCCACATTAATGCAGGCCACGTCCCTTTTATACCCAATGCATTGAGCTTAGGAGTTGTTCTCTGACACCCCATTGAGGACATCTGTGTGTGCTGCCCCTTTTGGCTTCTGTGACTGTAGCTTACCCATATGATTCCCTGATCTAAGCCCAGCAGGACTTCTCTAGCCAAGCCGACATCTCTCCCCAGTAGCACCTAGATCCTATGAGGCATGTATATCAATAAATAGAGTCATCAAATAGGCTGAGAGGGTTTTTTGTTTTATTTTAATACATTGAAATGATTTTCTTCAGAACAGCCTAATCAGTTCCTCTGTAGTCACCTTTTTCTTTTCTTTTTTTTAAGTAATTGATTACTTCAACAAACATGTACTCATACTTTCTGTGCTCAAGTACTGCACCTCTCCTTATCTCCCACTTTCCTCCAAACTTTTATGAATAGGTCGGTATTTTGCTGAATGCTTAGTGATACAAAGTTGAATAAAATGTAGTCCTAGCCCTCAAAATGCTCTGTGTTTAGTAAACGACCAAAAAGTAAAAGCATAACTAAATTACAAACAGGTGTGGTAAGTGCCATGCCAGGAGTTTGCATAGGGTTGGTAGAGAATGTGTGTGTGCACGCATGTGAACTTGTGTCTCTGTGTGTGCATGTGCCATGTAGATGTTTGTATGTGTATGACTGTGTATGTGCACATGTTTGTGTGTGTGTGTGTGTTTTCACATGTGTATGGTGGGAGTGGGGTGGTGTTAGCCTGGGAGGGTCAGAGGAAGTAACCCTAAAGTTGAGGTCCAAAGATAAAGGATTTGTCTGGGGATAGAGGTTTTGAATGGGCCAGAGTGAACATCTCATGCTAAGGTCTTCAGACAAAAACATCCTAGTGTATGGGGACAATTATAAGTGGTTTGAGGAATGTTGTACTGAGGAGTAGCAAGGGATGAATTTGGAAATACCCTCAGTGGAGTGGCACCTGTGGCTCAGAGGAGTAGGGTGCCGGCCCCATATGCTGGAGGTAGTGGGTTCAAACCCAGCCCCAGCCAAAAAATGCAAAAAAAAAAAAAAAGGAAATACTCTCAGAGACCAGCTTAGGAAAGAGCTTTGTGCCTGATTAGATTAGGAATCCTGCAAAGGGGGTGAAGATATTGAAGAACTTTTTTGTGAGGGAGTACTGTAATTATGTTTGCAATACAAACAAAGATAGTAGTCTAGCTATAATGCAGATTGTATAATTGCAGGCAGGTCCCCAGGCCTGGAGTCTAGTCAGGACTCAGTGGAAATAATAGTGGTATTAGCCAAAAAGACAGGGTCTTGGCCTCCAAACACTCACAATCCATGCCTCACGATAAGTTATTTACCATAATAGAGTGAAGTCAATACTAAGAGAAGCAGATGTACAGAACCACAGATCACTGATCTTTCCTGCCTATATGATTTTAAGTTCCTTCTGTCTTTAAAATTCTGCACCTCCAGGCTACCCTGCTGCAGACAGTGATGCTATTCTCTGAACACCTCTGCTCTAAGGCTAAGGGCACATTGAAGCGGAACCACGTAAGAATGTTCAGAGAAGCGTTCAAGAGGGGAAACCAGACATACATAATTTAAATGTAATAACATATGCATGATATAATGATTAATTATTTAAATTTTTTATATTTAATAAAACCACAGAAACACTTCTGTACATTTTTTATAGAAAGCAAGAGAAGGATGAAGATGCAATTTAGGATAATGCCGACTTGGCTGGGGAAAGGGGTGGGAATGAAAGGAGGGAATACAGGCCTAGAGGAAGTTATCATCAAGGTGCTAGACTTTGTTTTGGATAGTGGGTTTTGGAGCTTGTTACCTTATTCAAAGTCACTAAGTAAATAAATGATAAATAGAAGAAAGCATGGAGCATTTATGAGAAGGTGCCATGAGCTGAGGAATATGGTTTATTCAATCCAGTGCCCCAAACTCCAAAAATGGAAAAGGTCAAAGCAAGAAGACAAAGATGGTGGCAAGGAACTGGAGAAAGGGAGAAAGGGAAATGTGCCAGTGGGAGGGGAGAAGACCTTGGGCAACAGGGCCTAGAAGCCAAGGAGGGAGAGCAGGGGACCAGACTGAGGGAGGTTCAATGTCCTGTATCCAGCCAATAGAATAGGCTCATTTTGTTGTGGGAATTTTTTTTTTTTTTTTTTGAGACAGAGTCTCACTTTGTCACCTTCAGTAGAGTGCTGTGTCATCACAGCCCACAGCAACCTCAAACTCTTGGGATGAAGTGATTCTCTTGCCTTAGCCTCCCAAGTAGCTGGAACCACAGGAGCCCACCACAATGCCCAGCCATTTTTAGAGACGAGGTCTGGCTCTGGCTCAGGCTGGTCTCCAACTCCTGAGCTCAGGCAATTCACCCACCTCGGCCTCCCAGACTGCTAGGATTACAGGCGTGAGACACCATTGTAGGAACTGTTTGTGAAATTGAGCCAGATTGCTACACTGAAACTCAGGGGGAACCTCTGCCTAGAGTCACAAAGGACCTGAATTAGTTTCAATTTTCCATTATTAATAAAAACTTGCTCAAGCAGCTCAAGCCCTTTTTCAGTAAGTACATAAAACTGAAAACCAAGCTCCTGCTTCCTAGTTTTCTTGTTCCCTTAATCCCCAGTAACCAGATCAGAACTATATGCCACAGTATACTCACAGTTTTATGATGTCTGATCCAAACAGGTCAACCACTAAATAGCAGGTGGTTTTCAAAAACAGTTTTCCTAAGAAAAATAAAGATATAAAAAATGTATCTTTGTTATGACACATTTAACACTTGAGTTAATAATGATTATTAGGAACTAAAGCTAAACGAGTAATTATAATTAATTCAAGTATTTTATTTTAAGAATATGAAGGAAATTTTACATTTAATGTATCCCTTAAAATATCATTTTCAGGGCAGCACCTGTGGCTCAAAGGAGTAGGCGCTGGCCCCATACTCTGGAGGTGGCAGGTTCAAACCCAGCCCTGGCCAAAAACTGCAAAAAATAAAAATAAAAATAAAATAAAATATCATTTTCATTTCAGATTTATGTGCATACTGCTGGCTATATATGCTAAAGATAACCAGTTTGTTATAAAAACACAGTTATATTCTTGGTTTTTACTATTTTTTTTTTCCTTGAGGCGGTCTTTTGAGCTGTCACCCTTGGTAGAGTGCTATGGCATCACAGTCCAAAGCAACCTCAAACTCTCGGGCTCAAGTGATTCTCTTGCCTCAGCCTCCCAAGTAGGTGAGACTACAGATGCCTGCCTACTACTCCAGGCTATTTTTTAGATATGGGGGTCTTGCTCTGGCTCCCGCTGGTCTCGAACTCCTGAGCTCAAGCAATCCACTCGCCTTGGCCTCTCCTAGGATTACAGGTGTAAGCTACCACACTTGGCCTTTATTGTCTTTTTTTAACAGCAAAGAGCGTTAGCTAAAATCTCATTTGTTGAAGTTGAAACAAATAGAACTTTCCATTAAAGTAAATAATCTGAAATGTAGCTCTGTTAGAAATATTCTTCTCTGGTGTTCAGCTGGGGGAGAAGACTTCACTTGGCCTACTTAGTTGTGTTACTTACTTATCTCTGTTGTTATCCCAGAGATAAAAGACAGGCTGTTACAAGTGCCTCTGCACTGTCATCTCCATCAGAGAACATGATACACACAACACACACACACAACTATCAAAAAAATAATCTTCCCTCATCCTTTATGAGAATATAAGAATGTTTTTTTGTAACAATGAAACCAGTTACCTCTTTGATCTTGTTTCTCTAGTTTGTGAGTCTACTTGAAAATTTGGTATTTCAACTTTGGATATAAGCATAGTTAGGGAGAGATAAGCCCTGGAAAGATGGAAAACCCTGCCTGTGAGGAATTTATCTTGTCATGATGCACTTTAAATGGGGGGGGGGGTTACTCAGACCTTGCTTGAAGGGTGGGGTAGTGAAACAACAGTATAAATATGGGGAACTCTCCCTGGCCTTCGATAATGTTCAATAATGTTAGATATTATTTTTATATTAAAATAGACATCTTCATATTCCTTTTTTATAATAAAGCATGAGACTTCAAACACATTGTGCTCTTGAAGTGGGCAATTAAAAGCTGTAATCAAACAAGAATTATCCCAGGAATGTGAGATTGGTTTAACATCTGAAAATCAATATAGTACAATATATCAGTAGAATAAGCAACAAACACTATATGATCATCCAACACACACAGAAGAAATCTGACAAAAATATGGCATCATTTTACTATTAAAAAGCCCCATAAAGCAAAAACAAAAAAATAAGAATAAAAGGGAATTTCTAAGACCTGATAAATGCTATCAGCAAAACCCCACAACTGACATGATGCTTAATGGTGAAAGATTAAACTCTTTCCTCCTAAGATCAAGAAAAGACAAGAATGTCTGCTCTCATTACTTCTAATCAGTGTTATGCTGGAAGTTCTAGCCAGGAGAAGAAGGTAAGAATGAGAGTAAAAAGCATCCAGATTGGACAGAAAGAAGCAAGCTATTTTGCAAATGACATGATTTTGTATGTAGAAAACCCTAAAAAGTCCATTAAAAAAACCATAAGAAACAATAAGTGAGTTCATTAAGATTGCAGGATACAGGTCCCACTCACTGAGCTATGAGCGCCCACCACATACACCAAAGCTGGTGGGTTGGAGCCTGGCCTGTGCCAGCTAGACAACAGTGACACTTGCAACCAAAAAATAGCTGCGCGTTGTGGTGGGTGCCTGTAGTCCCAGATACTTGGGAAGCTGAGGCAAGAGAATCACTTAAGCCCAAGAGTTTGAGGTTGCTGTGAGCTATGATGCCATGGCACTCTACCCAGGGGGACATAGTGAGACTCTGTCTCAAAACAACAGCAACAACAACAACAAAGATTGCAGGATACAAGATTAATATTCAAAATCAAATGTATTTCTATACAACAGAAATAAAAGATTAACAAATGAAATTTAGAAAAATAGTTCTAGAGTGGGTGGGGTAAGATGACTGACTAGAGACATTGGTTGCCAGATTTTCTCAGAAAGAAGAAAAAGGTTTTGGTGAAAACAAAACAAAACAAAACATAGCTCAGGTACAATTCTGAGAGAGAAGCCCCAGAACCTACCAGAGATTCCACAGGAAAATCTTGTGAAGCAGAACAAGAAGGAGCAAGATTAATGCAGAGATCAGCCCCTGAGAAACTTAGGGCCCTGGGGAAAGGGTAGTGGAGGTTTTGTTTCACTTTCCCTCACACCTCTGGCAGTCAGTAGGCTCCCACGCTGCTGGAGAGCTTCTCTACTCTCATAAGCCCCAAAGCTGCTGTTTCCAGTAAGATGAGAACTTTTTGAAAACAAAGGATTTGGTTACCAGCTCCTTGGGGTCACTCCCTGTTACCACATACCCAAGCTGAGACCATAGACACCATTCTGCTTTTCTACCAGTTGTGTGCCTTTGTCCTCCCCAGGGAGCTTCAGCCTCTCCATTTTTATGCCACTGATCCCCACACAAACATTTTCCAACTCCTTCCCAGGGTGACTAGAGGGATATCTGTGTGATCTCAAAACTTGGATATTCTAGGTGGCTTGCCTTCTAGGGAGAGGAGCAAAGATGAATAGTTCCAACTCTCCTCTATCAGGACTCTTTGCTTCCTCTCCCGCACTCCACCCAGTGCTGCTAAGTGGCATGTGTCCCCTCAAGGGACAACAGAGCCAGGGCTCTCTGTTGTGCACCTACTACACTAAGGCTAACGCAGTGGGTGGGGCTCACAAAGTTCTTTTTAAAGACTGATAGCAGACCAACAGGTGCTTGGGCTGTGAACTCCCTGCCTCTGGCCCTCCCTGGTGCTGCTCGCCTGGCTGCTCCAGCAGAGCAGGGCACACCCCAAAGTGGGGGGACATTCAGCCTGCTTGAGCACTCAATGGGCATCTTGGGACCAGTACATTTCTCCTTGGCAAGGTCAGGGATTGAACTTAGGGGACAAGAGGACAGGCTTCTAGGGTGGACCCTGTTTCTCCAGGACTTGATCATGTTGCTTATGGGCATGAGCTAATCTTAGGAGGCAAGGGAACCCTAATGGGTAGAACCAAAAGGAGACTACAGTGTGGGTCCAAGCTTTTGTGCACCTGCAGAGACTCCTGCTCCAAAAGGAAAGCCACGCTTTTAGTCAGGAGTGGTATCATGGGTAGATAAGCTCCCTTGTGCCACCTTTGTGGACCTGAATGCAGGCTTCTCTGACTCAGCCCTGCCCAGCTTGCTCCTCCATCCCTTTCTGCTGTGGTGGAGAATAAGAAGTTCTCTGGGAGCTCTATGACCCCTCCCACTAATTCGGGTATCCTGGTGCTTCTCCTGATGGACCCCCAAACATTACTGCAGCTGGCTCTTTCCTGCAAGTGCCACACACTGGCAAAGAGGACAACTTTTACAGCCCACTACACCATTTACTGACTTACTCATACAGGGCATGGCTGATTCTTACCCATAAGTACCATCTACTGTCTTAGTGATTAAATTGGGCATCCTAGTACGATTTACACAGGGCTGGGGAAAGAGAAAGGATTTCAAAGGTCTCCATTTTCCCTTGTCAACAAAAGACAGAGGTAATATGCCCATGCAGAGAATACCACTGCTACAGCCTAGAAATAGCTAGCAATTAGAAAACCACATGAAGGATCATCAAGGCTTCATCCAGAACCTAGCCCCCCAAAAGTACCCACAAGCAGAGCCAAAGTTCCTTATTCAACATAGGTCACCAGCATACCTTTAAAAAATGAAGGAGCCCCATTTAATCAAAAGGAAATCCAAAAACAAGTGACAATTGCTCAGGTAAGGAATCAGTGCAAGATCTCTCTGCAAGTATGAAAAATCAGTAAAAAGATACTCTGAAAGGAACACACCAGTTCTCTAGCAATGATGCCAAACAAAGTGAAAATCCTGAAATGGCAGATAAAGAATTCTAAGTACAGACTACAAGGAATCTCAGTGACATTCAAGAAAAAATAGAAAACAAACTCAGAGAAACCAAAATAGCAATTTAGGAAATTAATAAAAAATTTACTGAACAGATAGATGTATTAAAAATAAAACAAAAAGAACTTCAGGAAATAGAAAAATTCATTAAGGGAAATACAAAACACAGTGGAAAGTTTTGAGACTAGGCCAGAAAAAGCAGAAGAAAGAATTTCAGCACTTGAATACAGCTTTTGTGAGCTAACGCTGTCAGTCAAAAATAAAAAACAAAGAATCAAGCAAACTGGACAAAGTTGTGGAAAATAAGATATTATATAAAATAGCCAAATATAAAAATCACAGGTATCCCTTAGGGTGAAGAAGAAAAAGCACAAACCTATATGAGGGAATAATTGAGGAAAACTTCCCTGGTATTACTAGAGATTTAGACGTCCAGATTATAAGAAGCTCAACAAATACCTAGAGATTTATTGCAAAAAGGGAATCATCAGGGCATATAGTGATCAGACTGGCCAAAGTTTATGAAAAGGAGGAACACTTATGAGCTGTGAGGTGAAAACATTAAGTAAATTACAAAGAAAAACCCAAAAGTAACAGAAGACTTCTCAAAGGAAAATGTATAATCCAGAAAAGAATAGGGTTCTACTTTTAGTTTCCTTAAACAGAATAACTGGCAGCCAAGAATTTTGCATCCTGTTAAACTAAGTTTTATAAATGAAGGAGAAAAATGTCTTTCCCAGACTAGCAAACACTAAGGGGATTTG